GCTCTACCACTGAGCTATACCCTCCCCCGACTTTTCCTTTCTTAAAAGCAGCTAGATTGAGGATGTCTCTTCCTTTAACCATAATCATCTCTCAGAAGATCCTGGCTTGGAGATGCAGGCAGTTCTGAAACTCAGGGCAAAGCTCTAAACCCAGAGACTCCCCTGGCTGCCCCACTGCATCAGCTCATTCCTGCAAATATTCATAAAGCATTTACCCCTGGTCCTCACAAAGGGCTTTAACTCCATCATTTCCAGGTGGGGGCCTGGGGTATTGTAGGGGTAAGTGGTCAATCTCTCAAGGTGTTGTTTTAAACACAGCATGGAATACTCTGGACAACAAGGACATCTTTTTCATGCAAATAAATACACACATACGCTTTATCTCTTCCAACAGCTGTCTAGTACTTTATCGTGTAAATATGTCATATCTACCATTAATGACCACTTGGGTTGTTTTTTTTTTTTTAACAGTCTTTTGCAAAATTAAACAGTGTCACTGTGCACATCCTTAGACATACATCTTGTGCACTGGTGTAAATATTTCTTTAGGCTTATGCCCTAGAAGTACAACTGCTAAATCGAAGAGCCTGAGCATTTAACATTTTGATATTGATAAGTTACCTTTGTAACAGCTCCATCATTTATAATCTCACTAATACATCATAAAAATGCAAATTTCCCATAATTCTGCCAAAATTGGGTTTAATCAATTTTTATGTTTACTCAGGTAAAAAAGTTTCCAATAATTTAATTGCCTTTCTAGTACAAAGTTTGAACATCATTTATCATTATTTGGGTTTCTGATGGCAATAAGCATATGAGATTCTCTAACACTGTAATCACTCAAGCCCTCTCTGACTTCATCTATGAAATGGGTAAGAATGTCCATGTTCTACAAACCTGTGGCTAAAAAAAAAAGCAATTAAATGGAAGATATGACTTTGATCTAAGAATATTTTGGTTAAAAAATGTGCTATCGAATTCATTTCAAAGTAGCAAAATTACATAGCTAATGAAATACCCCAGAAGTTGTATTGGCTTCTCTCCTGCTACTCCAGTTAATAGGAATTATTAGTGAGACACTTGAATTATTTTGTTGTGAATAAATATTGCTTGAATAATGTACAGATTGGCCAGACACTCCTTTAGGACAAGGAAAGAAATACTATTTGTTGTCTACTTCAATGTGTCAGGAAGGGCAAACCGAGGCTCACCATTTTAAGAAATCTGATCAATGAAACACAACCCTCAGGAGATAAACTGAATGTAGGCTATCCGGCCGTAAGGTCTTGCTCTCCCCCCATGCATCACTCTGCTTTTAGAGGTACCATTCAAACACGTGACAGAAATTCATCTATCGAGTTTCAGATAATTGTCAGAAAAACACACATGAAAGAATTAAGTACCCAATTATTCCAGAAAGAATTTCTCTCACTGACTAGAGAACTCAAACCAAACTGAATGCTGTCAAACAAAATAGATGACATCTAAGATTTGAATGCAGAAACCTGCATCCTCCTGGCTGCATTGTGCATTATTTACACTTTTAGATACAAGATCCTGGAGGGCAGAGTCTTCTTTCACACGTCCTCAGTGCTTACCCAACAGCCTTGCTGCGCTGAGTAAAGGGATGTTCCGGTGAGCTCACACCGGCTCAACACGAACAACTGGACTAACGCAAGTAAGAAGTGGTCCATGTGCCCTGTGTCTCCGACAGCCATTGCCTTCCCCACCGGGGAGAGACCCACGCTAGGAACGCAAAAACCCAAGTTCCCCTGTGAACCCCTCACACCCAGAGTTGCCTCACTTTGGTTGCAGAGAGCACTTACGTATGACAGAGATCTTTTCCATCTGTGTTTTCTCCCCACCCCCTTCCCTACTGTAGAGACCTCAGGACATTCCCTTATGTTTAAAAGTGTAATTTTTTTATGACATAGTTCAAATTGATTAAAAAGTATCACCTGTGTACTCATCATTCAACTATTAAAAATACATAATGGAATATTTGCTTTGGATTTTTAAAACAAAACATTTCAGATATATAATAAAAGTATAAAGATGAACATAATGACCTACCTGTGTACCTTGCAACCTGCATCAGGAATATATGCTCTGCACACAGCTGAAGCCCTGCTGTGATTTCTCTCCGGCCACACCCCCTTTCCTCTCCCACAGGGGTGCCACACTCCTAAATTTGATGCCTAGCATTCTTTAACTTTTCAACTGGCTAAAAACTTCTCTGTTTTGCAAATCTGGGTTTGCCTTCTTTGGTATTTCTTTGAATCATTTACGCTCCTACTTTCAAGAAGCGATGCTGTTCCCTAAATAAAACTATAGTAGGATCATAAAAAACTAAATCACCAAGTGTTTTGTATGTCTTAGTTTAATTTTAAATATGCCACTGTGTGTGTGTGTGTGTGTGTGTATACATTTCAGAAGGCAGATAGAACTATAAATTAAAATGAAAATAATCACAAGTTCCCTCTAGGCCAGTTTGTTATGTATGTTTTCCAGGAATTGGACACACGACAGAAGTTTGCAACAAAAATGTGATCAGATCAGTCTGGCTATTTCCATGATTCATGATGGTTAGTGGAAGGGATTATGAAACCACAGTGCTGGTAGAAGCCTCATTCTTAGTGGTTCAATGAACTAGAAAAAAATATGGTCTAGTTCATTCAACTATAATTAGATTAAACCTTTAATTAAGCTAATAAACTAGTTTTCCATTAATAAATACCATTAGTTTAATTTAAACACCATTAATGGTATTTATTAGCAAGAAGACACCAAGGAGTCCTTTATTCATACAAAGTTTTAGCAGGAGGTACTTGGTTTGTGTAGATTGCTTATTGTAAGTAAACCTGGAGTTTATGGATTTATGGGGCATGGCTGGCTGCCTGGCTGGTGAAAGGAGAGGCAATATAGCCTTATAGGCTGTGTAATTAACAGCTTATAAAACAGAGATATTCCAAAAGCAAAATTTTGAGTACTATTTTTGCATATGTTGCTCAAAAACTCAAACTCGTTGAGCTATTCCAAGCTGAAACAGAGCCTGATGTGGGATGCAGGCATTCTGTAGTCTCTGTTGCAAGATGGACGAACTATCTATAAGATTTCAGTTGTAAGTGATTTAATGAAAGCAGATCCCAGGAGAAATGATGGCTAGAAACTCACTTCCATCATAACAGGATGCCAAGCCAAGGCTGTAGGACGCTGAATTTGAACTAGACAAGGTTTGTGTTGCTCAGATACCCATCCGTATGGAGAGGTTATGGCATTGCCTCTAATAAAAACCACAGAAGTGCAAATTGGGCTGAGTCACCACATTTAAAGGCAGGCTACAAATTACTGGCCTGAAGGAGGTATTCTGCCTAGAAATGCACTCAGCTTCATCCACGGTGTTTTTTGTTTTGTTTTGTTTTTTCCTGGAGTTTAATGCCGTAAAACAGGACGTGTGCTCTCTGGTCTGTCCCAACCCCCACCACTCCCTAATGTTACATGAACATCAAGTGTTTTTATGATCTTCCTGGGTCTTTCTTGAAAACACAAACATACTAAAAATAGCAGGGGAATCATCCCTTTAATTTTCAGGCAGACTGGGAACTTCAAAAACCATAAACCAAGTAAACCTCTTGTTTCATCTGAAAGTGAATGGAAGCAGTCCTTAAACAAAATGACTGTTGGAAAAAAACATGACATCCATTTGGCTTCGACTAGAAATTAGGTCCCCGTATGAGGTCTGGTTTCAACATCAGGTTTCAAAACTCTCCTGCACCTTCCTCTCTCCTGCTTGGATGGGAGACACCTGCTATCTCACTAGGTCTTGAAGATGGGATTTGGGGCTCTGAGTTTTACAAGACAAGTCAAACAGTGTTGACATGATGTAGTCCAGAGAGTACACTTAGAAACGTTCAAGTGTGCAGCCTTCCCACACAGCTCCCTGCTGGAGCCGTGGACATGCCCTGGCTGGGCCTCACCTTGGGAGAGTTGCTTCTGTCCCCTGGCTCTGGGGACTGGCTGCCGTTGCTGTTCCAGCTGGCTTCGTGAAAGATGTCAGGACTCTGCTGCCGAACCTGGCGGGACACGATGAGGTGAACGCGCCTTTCACTGGCCTGCGTGATAAGACACCAGTGTTAGCCACTCTGAGCTCCCAGCCACAGCATCCAGCATCAGGGGCTCACCAACATGTGGGTTTGGTTTTACTTTTTTTTTTGGTGGGGGGGAGGTGATTTCTAGTATTTTCCATGGCTGTGCCCATTTTGTAATTTGGCAAGAACTTGAGAGGTATTTCCTTTATCCTTAAATCAGGTCATAAATATCACTTTGGAAGGTTTGACTCTCTCAACAGTCTTTGAAAAGACACTGTCGGACATTGCCATTTTTAATGAATGGCTCCATCGTACACAAGCCATGGATGAAGGGCTTTCCAGCTAGAACAGAGTGTGCAGGGTAAGGTAGTAGCCCCATCCAAACCCCAGACCAAAGGGCAACAGCGAAGGAGGAGAAAGGGAGTTCTTGGCAGCAATACAACCACTGCAGGAAGAGAAATCCTGCTTCTGACAGTTTCAAACATCTGGGCATCAGAAATCTAAGGATGATGGCAGGTTATATAACACGGCTTGATTAAAGGCCTTTGCCTTGATCCTTTTTTATGTGACCAGCACTAATTCTGATGACTAGTCCTCTCTGCTATGTACCCTGCCACTTGGACAGAGCTTTCCCAAATAGCAAATGTGCTGTTTATTAGGGAGGTTCATTCCATACTGTAAATTTACTGATTGGCTTTCTGCCACAGATGAGTTTCACTTGTGTCTGAGAGTGTGGGTCACTATTCCAAACATGCTGACTCCTGAGGTTCCAAATCTGCAGACCAGATAGACTAGACTTGGGACGTGGGAAACATGATACATAACAAGGCTCTCTGATGGCCCAGGATGAACTAGCTCACTGACCTCCACATCACTATAGGAAAAGCTGACCGTGCATGAGGCATTGCTAGATTTGCTTAGAAACCAGAAAGATTAGGTGTGGGGACAAGGAAGGCACAGAAGAGAGAAATAAGTTCTGGGGGTTCCCCTCGACATCCCATCTCCTGACCACTCAGCATCAGAGCACAGATGGACATCTGCCCTTACAGGCATGGTCGTCAGACCATGGACAAGTCAGGTCATGAAAGGCGGCCATGGACAGCCCATGCTCTTCTCCATGAGCTCAGACAATGGGAGTGGAGATATTTACTCCCTGTTTCTCTGCGTCTTCTTTCCCACAGCACAGAACTCACTCTCATTCTCTTCTTTTAAAACTTTAAGCAATTAGAACCCCACCAATGAAATCAGATCCCCACAGTTGTCCAGCCCCAGCTTTCATGACTTTACATCCTTATATGAATAAACATCTTTTCTCTGTTGGTCATCAGTTGGGTGGTTGTAAATTAGATGAAGTTTTAAAACTGGCTGCTGAAGTGCATCCTGGGTAATATATCTAGAGGGAACCTTGATTTGCAAAGACACATGCTCCCCAATGTTCATAGCAGCACTGACAATAGCCAAGACATGGAAACAACCTAAATGTCCACTGACAAATGACTGGATAAAGAAGTTGTGGTATATTTATACAATGGAATACTACTCAACCATAAAAAGTAATAAAATAATGCCATTTGCAGCAACATGGATGAACCTGGAGAATGTCATTCTAAGTGAAGCCAGAAAGAAAAAGAAAAATATCATATGACATCACTTATATGTGGAATCTCAAAAAAAGACAAACTTATTTACAAAACAGAAACAGATTCACAGACATAGAGAACAGATTTATGGTTATGGGGGGAAGGAGTTGGGAAGGGATAAATTGGGAGCTCAAGATTTGCAGATACTAACTAATATATAAAAAAATAGATAAGCAACCAGTTTATACTGTATAGGACAGAGAAATATATTCAATATCTTGTAGTAACTTACGGTGAAAAAGAATATGAAAACAAATGTATGTATGTTCCTATATGACTGCAGTATTGTGCTGTACACCAGAAATTGACACAACATTGTAAACTGACTATACTTCAATTAAAAAAAAGAAAAAAAATGTCTATTGTAAACATTATGGTAGATGGTGGCCCAGGAGAGTTGATTCATTTCACCTGAGTTTAAAAAATCCTACCAAACAGGACCCCCAAAGAAAGTTTAAGTCCTTCATTCACTCTCTCCTTCGCATGAAGCCTTCCGCTCACATCCCCTACTCACATCCCTCCCTGTTAGTTGGCCTATCCTGAATTCCCTGGGGTTGCTCATCATATATGAAGCCTGTGTCAGAACAAAAATAACAAGCCCAGGGCACAAGAATGAAGTGAGCTGACATGAAGAAGTATTGGATTAGCCAACTAAACACAATTCTTGGAAGAGTATTTTGTAATAACTGCCTCTTTATACCGTAAACCTCCCTTATCCAAATGAGGTTATCTCTGGGAACCTTCTGAAGCAAAAATTACTGAAAGATAAGAAGCAGCGAACATTCAAGTCAAAACTTCAACTGCTGAGCCCAGATCTGCTCCTTATCTTCAGGGAAACTCCGATGTTGTGAAGAATCTCAGTGGTGGGTTTGTGTCGGTCTGCGTGTTGTACTGTATTCATCTTGGCCCAGCAACAGCCGCTGGCCTAAGCGCCTTGTACGAATTGAGAAAACCTGAGACTTACATAGTGAATTGACTTGCTAGGCAAAACCCCAAATGCCAAGGAGCAGTCAGGAAGAGCTGTTTAATTCACATTTTCCAGTGTGAATTTCTCACTGGATTTTCAAATGCCAACTCTGGCAGAAATAACACGCTAATAAATAACCCCGGTATCAATTTACTTGGAAATAAATTCCCTGCAAGGCTGGATCCCCCGCTCTGACTGCCACCTTATAAATTGCTCTCAGGGAGACTCTGTTTGATGCTCTTTCTTTCCTAGTGTTTGAAGTTGAAGGTGGAAAATGGGCTGCGGTGTTTGTCCTGGCTCTAACTCTCAGAAGCAGCTGGATTCAGTGTCGAGAAACAGCTCTTAGCACCGGATAGACTTTCTTTCCACCAGTGTGAATCTGGTGTGAATGTGGAGTGAGTGTGAGAAGGGGGTGGGGGTCACAAAGACTGAATGAAGGATAGAGTGGCAGGAACTCGTTTATTTCATTCCCACGTCATCTGTGCCAGGAAGACGGGGGTGGCGGATAACAAGCACTCAAAGGAAGGGCACTCTATGCAACACATATCACATAGCTTCTCTTGTGTCTCTTGAGATGTAGCAATTTTGGCAAAGGATGGTTTAGCAATTGTTACCAACTCAAGTACCAGACTTGAGGTTTCCCCTTCTTTTCAAACATTCTAAATTTTGACCTAGACACATTCTGGATCTAGTGGTTACAAGTTGCATAGCCTAATTGCTGCACCGTATTCTTACTCTTCTAAGAGCCAGAGCATTAACTCCCTCATCTCCATTCTGATGGCCTCCGAGTTCTCCCCTGTGGACTTAGCAGCCTTCTCCATCCACACACATTCGGTCCCCAGGGCTGACGGGTACCTCACGGAGGCTGTCCTACTTCAGGGACAGGAAGAAGCAGGTGCCAGGAAAGAGAAAAGGGTAACAATACATGAGGGGTTTCCTGAGGTGAGATCAATTACTTCTAGCTGCAAAAATAGGAAACATCTAATATTCAGAGAAAACCAGAGGGTTAAAACTAAGTAAGATTTCTCATGGAAAGGCTTGGTTTTGTTTTGTTTAATGACTTTTTCTCTGCTCTTTTGAGATTTGACTCAAAACTGCCACTGATGTGCACATGATGGGAGTAAACAGATGTCTAGAGGGAACCAGAGTCTAACAGCCTCATTTATACGTAGCCCACTTGAAAATCATAAAATCCCATCTCTTACAGCTGGAATGAGTCAGAGTGCTGCAAGTATCTTTTTCCATCATGTTCAGCTTGGAAATGACTCTTTTCTCTACAAAATCTACTCTGGTTGATAAGAACTGCTTATGTTGTCAGGAGGCAACATAGACCAGAAACTTCACAGAAAAAAGAGATGGAAATAAAAAGATGCCACCGCACAGTGGGTCAGGAGAGGCATTTTGCAGAGCCGTACCTTGGAACAGAGAGGGATCTTTGTACTGACCCAGCATTGCACAGTCCACATGGTGGCTAATTAGCCAGTAGTAACTAGGGCAGAGCGAGAGTTGACAGCGTGCCTGTACTTCACGGTGTGAACCTCACCTAGCCAAAGGCTCCACCTATTCATTTGTAATGAGGACTGGCATTAAAGCAAATGCATTCAAGCATTTGCTGCTTTTGAAATACATGCACGCACATGCTTACATAAAACGTTTCGTAAATTGCAACTCATGTGGGTTCAGTCATTGTGTTACTTACATTAGCTTCATAAAATTTCAAGTTAAAAAGAGTCACCACACGGACCCCAATCAACGCCGCAAATGGAAACTCCAACCTGACTGCCGGGCATCGAGATCGTGCTGCTCAGAGCAGGCAGATCATGTACATAGCACCCTTTATAACACGGTATAGGCCCACATGACTGGGTGGCCCTCTTGTTACGGAGATAAGTAAGAGCTGTAGTTGGATTTATAATAATATAAGCTGTTGACAGAGTTTGTCTCTACTTAGTGTTCCAGCATTAACATCAGAGGTCTTATCCTATATAGCACATGGAACTCTACTCAATTTCTTATAATAACATATAATGGAAAAGAATCTGAAAAGAAAAAATATATATGTTATGTATAACTGAATCGCTTTGCTTGTACACCTGAAACTAACATTATAAATCAACTACACTTCATTAAAATTTTTTAATAATTAAAAGAAAAAAAATCAGATGTCTTAATGACCATTTCTTTAAAAAAAAAAAAATCCCCCTGCATCTGCATTCCCCGCTGGTTTCTTTTCTAAGGATCCCAGCATGAGACAGCCTGGCTTTAACCAATTTTCAATGTATACTTGTGGGGATGGTTCTTCCTGCAATTCTGGGGTTGCCCCACTTTGGCTTCCCTTCCAGCAATGGCTCCAATATCATTCTCAGTTCACCCATCTGCACTCACAGAGCCCCGGGGAACCACGGAGCATGGGTTCC